CCTCTCCAGAAACTCAGCCAAATTTACTTTTTAAATTGAGTTTTCTTGAGGTCAGGAGCTGTATCTTTGTATCCCCCATAGATGCCAGCACAGCGTCTGTGCAAAGCTGACACTAGAAAAGTACATCTTTATCAATGGATTAATTTGGGAAAACACTGAGGGACATGCCCATTTCTTCATCTCCAATATAAATGAGCTGCTTGGCTTAAAATCTCATTTCAGAATAAAATTATTTTAATTGTGATATACCCGTTTTTTCTACTACTATCTTATTATGGTTGTTTAAAAAGTTCCATTAAGCATCAACATTACAACTGCCAAAGTGCTATATGAATTTGTACCCCATCAATACCATGTAATAATTAGAAAGAAATCTCCACTGTATTTAGCCAGGACCAAATAACTTACCTGAGGTGCCCAGGGGCAATAATGACCCCTTGATCTCATTCAGAAATGGAGGAAATGAAATACTATTTAAACAGAAACCTTAAAGGAGAATTAAACACTGATGGGGTTTTGTGTGTGTGTGTGTGTGTGTGTGTGAGAGAGAGAGAGAGAGAGAGAGAGACAGAGAGACAGAGAGACAGAGAGAGAGGCAGAGAGAGAAAGAGAGAAGGACGGATGAAGAGAAGGATGGAGAAGCCCAGGAATGTAGGGCTCCAAGGCAGCATGATGATATGAGCATCCCCTGAAGTGGTGTTTCTTGCTGCTTTTGGGCATAGGCTAATCCAACCTTGACTACTTGCTTGACTTTTTCAAGGAAACCTGTGAGCCAGCCTTCCATTTAGATGCAAATCCTTTATATCTTTTCCCTTCATTTATATCAAGAATGTCAATTAACCAATAGTTTTTCTATTGACTCTGAAGTCACTGGGAAAGACTCTCATATTTAGAATATCAAGAGCTAAGTTAAAGTTTATGGATGGTGTGAAAACTGTATGATTCTGTAGCACTCTTTCTCACAACTCTGCCACCTTTACCACAGAAGCAAAAGAGGGATGCACTTGGAATTGGAGCCATTTGGGATTGCTCTTTGTTTCCTAGGTTGTCGTGGCCATTGCTCTGCTGATGAATCTCCTCATACATAGGGAGACCAGGCCTCAGACAGCTGGTGCAGTTAGTCGCCAAGACCATTGGAAGCCAGTACTGCCAAACCTGCCCAAGGTTGTGTTTCATTGGCATAATTCGCATGAACCCAGTTTCACCTTCAGGTCATGATGAGCCTTCGGACTCAGGACTAAGGACTGTGATGGAAGGAGTTCTTCAAATATAATATTAAAGCACCAAATGGGTGGTATTGCCTTTTAAAAAGCTCTTTCTGACATTTTTGCTTAGAGGCCCAGAATTTGAACTGATGCCACTGCTTTTGTATTTGAATGTGAAAACCCCAACCTTTGAGAGAAAATCTATGAACCTCTGAAGAAATATTAGGCTTATTATTTTTTTCATTGAATATCAGTTCTGATTGGTATCAGCATCCAATGGCCTTGAGGAATCACTATTTGTCACCAGACTGGATTCCAAATCATTTTTGACTATTTTCTAGAAATCTCAGCCACCCTTAGTGGACAAAAGATACGCCACCATTGAGGATATGGTGTGTAGCTCAGGCTCTGACCAGATATTCAAAAATATTTTGAGCAGTTACAGGATTTTTAGAATAGGTATATAGCTTATTGATCTGCCTTCTTACCCTGGAATTTTCCTCAGTGCCTGGGGCCTTCTTACCTTAGGACATCTTTCCACCATATCAAACCCCTACTCCCACTGGAGTTTCTTCTAGGGCCTCCATTTTGGGAACTGGCTTCATTCCCCTTCCAGATATGCTTCTGACTCTCTGGACTCTGCCACCATTGACCTCACTTAGATACCTTCCCCCTCCCTTTTTCCTTCAGCTCTTTAATGTGCTGTCTTCTGCCATTTAAATATAAGCATCTTGAGGTCAAGGAACCTCTTTCTTTTTTATTGTATTTGTATCCCCATCTCTTAGCACAGTGCCTGGCACAATTTAGGTGCTTAATAAATGCTTTTTTCCTTGTCTAGCCTGTCTAGACAACTCAGGGAGACAGCTCTGAAGGACAAGATTCATTGGGGTACATGAGTTTTGTGTTTGTTCAAAAAAAATTTTCCCCATTACTTTATGATTAAGACAACAAGACAGTGCAGAACAGTGGAAAATAAACTGAATACAGAATCAAGGGACCTGGATTCAAATCCTGACTCCACCACTTATTATTGGTGTGACCCAAGGCATGTCACTCAACCTCTCTGGGCCTTAGTTTCTTCATCTGTGAAAAAGAGAGAGTTGGGCTAGCTAGCATCAAAGGTGCCGTCCAGTTCCAAACCTGCGAGCTTGTATATTGAGCAAAATATACTCAATAAATCCAACTCCCAGAATTAGAGTCTAATAGTCAAAGGGAAACTTAGTAGTCATGTAGTCAAACTTATCCCATGTTAGAATCCCCTCCATAACATCTCAGACAGAGAGGTTGTAATGTTCCTTTGGAATGCTTCCAGCGATGGAACTCGGAGATGAGAACTCACCCCATTGTTGGATAGCTCTAGGAGTTAGAAGGTTCCTTAGGGGACCTTGCCCCTTTTTCCTGCTGTTTGTACCTAGTTCTGTCCTTTAGAGTCAGGAAGGAAAAGACTGCTCTCTCTTCCCACATGTTCAGTCATTTTTAGTCATGTCTGACTCTTCATTACCCATTTGGTGTTTTCTTGTCAAAGATACTGGAGTGGTTTGCCATTTCCTTCTCCAGTTCAAGATGAGGAAACTGAGACAAATAGGGTTAAGTGACTTACCCAGAGTCACACAGCTAGGAAGTGTCTGATGCCAGATTTGAACTCAGGATGATGAGTCTGCCTGACTCCAGGCCCAGCGCTCTATGCACTGTGGCGCCACCTAGCTGCCTAGTTGTTGTTGTTATTATTGTTGTTGAGTCATGTCTGACTCTTTGTGATGCCATTTGGGGTTTTCTTGGCAGATATAGTAGAGCGGTTTGTCATTTACTTCTCCAGCATGTTTTACAGATGAGGAACTGAGATAAACAAGGTTAAGTGACTTGCCCAGGGTCACTAGTTTCACATAGCTAGTAAGTGTCTGAGGTCACATTTGAATTCAGGTCCTACTGACTCCAGGACCTCACTCTGTGCTCTATGCTACTTAGCTGCTCCAACACAGCCCTTCAGATATTTGAAGGTAGCCGTTGTGTCCTCCTGTAAGTAGAAGCATGCTGTAATGCAAATCATACTTCAGTGTTGAAGGACCTGAGTTCAAATCCTAATTCTGTTGCCCACTGTGTCCTTAGGCAAGGTATAAACTCTGGGGGCCTTAGATTCTTTATTTGCTAAATGAAGGGTTTAACTTTATAACTTCTATGATCCTGGTTCTAAGTCCTCTCCTTTCTAGTTTTACAACCTCAGTTCCTTCAATTTTTCCATATATGACCTAACTTCAAGTCCCCTCACCATCTTGATCTCCCTTTTCCAAGTGTGTTCACAGAATCAAACCTGATACTTAGGTTGGACTGGTGTGTAGTGGGACTGTTTACTTCCCTTGCTGTTTGGCACATTTCTTGGTCAGTCATTTTTCAGTCATGTCTGACTCTTCATGACCCCATTTACGGTTTTCTTAGAAGAGATACAGGAGTAGTTTGCCATTTCATTCTCCAGCTCATTTTACAGATGAAGAAACTGAGGCAAATGGGGTTAAGTGGCTTACCTAGGCCACACCGCTAGTAAGTGTCTGAGGCCAGATTTGGCTTCAGGAAGAGGAATCTTCCTGACCCCAGGCCAGAAGTCTATCGACTGCACTACTTAGCTGCCTATTTCAGGCACATAGTAATTAAGTAATAATAATACTTCATGCTTGAGTAATTAATACTTAAGTAACACTTAATTGAACATTCTGAACACTATGCTTCTAATAATGCAGTCTAAAGTTACATTAGTTTTTTGTTTGCTTTACTGGTAATTTTCCAGCATACCTCTCTCCCAACTTAACCCTCCTTTGTATCAAAGAGAAACAATTACTTTTTTTAATAATGAATCAACATTTATTAATCACTTATTATGTGCCAACATATGCAACATATTGCACCCATAGTCCACTAACTTTCTAGGAGAAAGAAGATGTATTTATTATCAGTTGCCCAGGAGGAAAATTGGATATTGAAACCAATCAGAGTTTAATTGCCTTTCCATGCCGTTTTCATATACACATTGTTGTCTTTAATAGCTAATAATACCTAGTCTTATGTAGCTCTTTTTAAGGTTTGCAAAGGCACTTTTACATGTCATATGGTGATCACAACTCTATGAAGGAGGTGCGATTATAAGCCTCATTTTACAACAAAGAAGCTGAAACTGAAGGATTAGGTGGTCTGCCCAGGACCCCACAGCTACTGGATTATGAGCTCAGGTCTTCCTGACTCACCCATCCCGGTCTAGCCCTCTATCCATTGGCCTACTAGCTGCCCGAATACATACTGTTCACTCTGTAAGTTCTTCATGGTCCACTCTAGCTCGTTCCCTGTGCATCAGGTTAATAGAAAGAGTTCATTCAATTACCCTGGCTTCCCTGACCAGATGTAGACCTCGCATTTATTTAACTGCTTATGATCAACTTTTTTCTAGTCACTAGCTTCTGCTCTGCCTTGTCCTCCGAGAAGAACTATTGTGGGGGCAAATAGGAAAGCCCTAAACTCACAGCTCCTCGCACGTGGAAGTTCAGAGAAGGGAGGGAGAGGCCGAGTGCCCCGCTGACGCTGGTGCTCCAGGCCTTGCCCTTGGCCAGGAAGAGGCGGATGCTGCAGGACCAGGGGAGGGATGATCCCTGCCGGCCCCAGCACGTGCCAACTGCCCTTTGAAACCCAGGGCGCAGTCAGTCTGCGCTGCTCTGGGCATTTAGGCAGATGACCTGAGCCTTGCAGAGAACAGCAGGACAGCCCACGAAAGAGCCGGCTCTGCGCTCCTGGGACTGCCAGCTGTGGGGCAGCCCTTGGGATCTGAGTATGGAACCCCCAGGCCCCCAGAAGCGGCCGCTGGGCGGCGCCGCCGAGGTCCAGATGTGCCAAGCTATCTTCCCTTCCCACGCCAACCACCGTGGGGAGCTGAGCGCCGGCCAGCTGCTCAAGTGGATTGACACCACCGCCTGCCTGGCAGGTAAGAGGGAAGCTCAGGCAGCCAGGAGGGAGAGTGGGCGCTGCGGCTGCCGCCAAGGTCAGTGGAAGTGAAGGGGCTAAGCTGCCGCAGACACGGAGATCCCTATTGGAGCCCGCTCAGGGTCTGGCATTTATTTACCTGGCTATCTCTGGAGGACAGCACAGAAAGTAAACTGCCTTTACACACCTTCTCCCATAGCCCTCACTGTCTGCCTTAAATTCCCCTCCCCCCCTTTGTCGTGGCCATTCAACCTCCCAAAGACCGAAAGAAAAGAAGGCAAAACAAGCCTGTCCCTCCTCCCTCCCCAGCCCTGGCTGGGACCTCTTGTTGTCCAGCCCTGCCCTGAATTTGGTTTCAGTAACTGGTGGGCTGGCCCCTGCAGCCTATAACAGTCATCAAAATACAAATGGAGAGGATGCACAACAGTTATTTATACAAAATATTCAGAAAATGCAAATATTCAGGGAAATTTCACATCAGACATTGAAACTGCTTCAATTTGGAGGCAACTAATTACTCTAGATTGATAACACAGAAAAAACTAAGAATAAAGGGGTACTCTTAAATAATAGTGTATAAGTATTTATTTCAGAAATTATATTGGAAGCAGTTAGATATTTATTTTGTGATAAATAAAAGCCTATATTATATATATGTATGTGTGTATATGTGTGTGTATATATATGTGTGTGTATCTATATATATATACATATATGTATGTATGTGTATATGTATATATGTGTGTGAGTGTGTGTGTGTGTGTGTGTGTATATATATATATGATAGGTTCAAAGCCTAAATGGGCAGTAGCACTGTGTTGACTAACACAGAGTTCCTTGCTAATACCTTGGGTACAGCACACAAATACTTTGTCCAGGCAATGTGCTGACTTTATTGTTAATTGGATAAATCACTTCTCCTCCCTGGGCTTTAGTTTTCTCATGTGTACAATGAGGAGGTTGTCCTGAATCACCTCTAAAGTCCCTTCTAGTTCTAACATTCTATGATTTTTAGTGACTCTCAGGCCATTGAGTCCCCATGGAAACTTGCAAAGTAGAAAATTAGGCTTTCCCGTATGCCCTTGCTTCTTTTTTAAATACTTAGTCCACCTCTTGTACCCCAAATCCTTCACCTCCAGCCCCAAGGGCAAATGCATGACTGCATGCATCTTAGGACAATATTTGAAAATTGAAAACTAATCCAGACCCTTCATTTTACAAATGAAGAGACTGAAGGTTAGAGAGGTCAAGTAATTTTCCCAAGGTCATACATCTAGTTAACGACAAAGTGAGAAGAGAATCTGATGTGCAATCCAATATTCTTGCCAAACACTATGGCAGATATAAGCCTGGAGTTGTAATTTTCTAATATCATGTGTAGAGAGGCAGCAGAATAAGTCAAATGACCTGGGGAAGCAGGAGACCTTGATTTGAGCCCTGGCTCTGTCACTTTAATCTTGTCCTATCTATGAAGCAACCAGGTGGCACAATGGATAGAGTGCCAGCCTGGAATCACAAAGACTGGAGTTCAAATCCAGCCTTACAGTTACTAGTTACTAGTAACTAGCTATATATAGTTACTAGCTCTGTGATCCTGGGCAAGCCATTAACCTCTCTTTGCCTCAGTTTCCTCATCTGTAAAATTGGCATGATAATCCTTGCATTACCTACTTCATGGGCTGCTTGTAAGGAAAGTATGTTGGAAGCCTTCTAGAACCAAAGACAAGGTTCACAAATTACCACTCTGTATTTGACAACTGCATCCCCAGTGTTACTATGGCTATCCTGGGACCTTCACGTGTTATTATTATTTAGGACTATAAAGCAAAGAGACAAGCTCCATGAGCCACCAGAAAGTTGGTATGGTTAGTTTCTGATCCCATTTCTAAATGACCTATCAACAAGGCACTTGTCTGCCTTTTTGCTAAAAGGTAGGCTCATTTTAAAGCTCTTGTTATTTCTCTGGATTACCTTGGTGATGTAATTGAAAAGCAAAGTGAAGGAAGGGTTTTCGCCACCAATGCAACTACCCCTGAAAATCATTTAGCTTTTGATTGGATTTCCCATCTAAAAGAATCCAAATCCTAGCCAACAATTCTGTGCATTAACAATGTTATAACAACAATAGAGGAGACTTTCCTGATGCAGTGAAAAGACACTGGCTCAGAGTCAGAGGACTTGAATTCAAATACTGCTTCAGCTGCTTGCTACCTGGGTGGATAACCTTGGGCATGTCACTCAACCTTGATCTCAGTTTCCATTTTGTAAAATGAGGAGGTTGGATGTGATGACCTTGGAAGAACTTTCCTGCCCTAGATCTATAACCAAAGGAGAGCTCCATAATGGCGCGCCTTCAGGAGAACAAGGATAATACTCATGTCATAGCCTGTATTGTGAGACGGCATCTCTTTTTTAGAGTTGTTGTTCAGGTGTTTTCAGTTCTAGCTGACTCTTCGTGACCCCATTTGAGGTTTACTTGGCAAAGATACTAGAATGGTTTGCTATTTGCTATTTCCTTTCTCCAGCCCATTTTACAGATGAGGAAACTGAGGCAAACAGGATTAAGTGACTTGCCCAGGGTCACACTGCTAGTAAGTGTCCAAGACCAGATTTGAACTCTGGTCTTCTCGACTCCAGGCTGGGACTCTATCCATTGTGCCACCTAGCTGTCATTTGGAGTCTTACAAAGTGCTTGTACAAACTGGGAGCTTGATAAATGTTTGTTAACATGACTTGAATTATTATTTAGCACTTAACAGCTGTTACATAAGGTATTGTAGGTAGTACATGTATTTTTTGTGCCCATTATACAGATGAATAAGCTAAGTCTCAGGGAGGTAAAGTGATACATCCAGGATTATATAGTAACAAATCCAGAATTCAAATCCAGGTCTTCTGGCTCAAGGTTAGTTCTCTTTCCACTGCACCACATTGCCTCTTTGTCATTATGTGTATGGGGGGGGGGCATGATTTTACCCAATAGAATAGCCAAACATGAGGAAAAGAGGAATGCTCTATGATAACTGGACCAAATGATGGCAGAAGAAGAGCTGGTCTGTCAGCCAGAGCTCCCTCCAGAGCACTTCTGCACATCTAAAGCACACTGATAACTGATGTTCATAATGAGGACCCCAAGGCACTGAAAGATCCCAAACTGCCTTCTAAATCATTAAAGGATGATTAATGTGTTCAGCTTAGCTTTAGTGTTAACTACCTCACTTCTGTCAGAGGCATCAGAATTCCTCCAGCCTCCCAGGTTGTAAACCTTGGAGCCATCTTTGACTTCTTTCATCCTCTGTGTCTCACCGAAGTTTCATCCCTTCCTCTCCAGTCTCACTGTCAACACTCTAAGCCAGGCCTTTAGCACTTACCATACAGTGGGAAAAGGCATCAGACTTAGAATCAGAAATTCAAATCTCATTTCTGCTATTTGCCATTGGGTGATTTTGGCCACATTGCTTAGAAACTTTGTGCTTCTGCATCTGTAAAATGAAAGAACTGGACTACAACTACTATCCAAGGTGTTTTTTTAGTTGCTAAATCATATGATTGTATAACCTTACAATTGGTAACAGCAACCGGCTTCTTTTTATAGTATTTTTTTTCCAATTACATGTAAAGACAATTTTAACATTCATTTTTTATACAATTTTGAGTTCAAAATTTTCTTGCTCCCTCCCTAAGATGGTAAGCAATTTGACATAGGTTATATATGTGCAATCATGTAAAACATATTTCCATATTAGTCGTGTTATAAAAGAACAGAACAAGAGTCAGCTAGGTGGAGCAGTAGATAGAGCTCCGGCCTCGAAGTCAGGAGGACCCGAGTTCAAATGCGGCCTCAAACACTTGAAACTTACTAGCCGTGTGACCCTGGCCAAGTCACCTAACCCCAATTGCCTCAAGGAAAAAAAAACCAAACAGAACAAAAGAAACAAAAAAGAAAGAAAGTGAAAATAGCATGCTTCAATATGCATTCAGACTCCATCAGTTCTTTCTCTGGATGTGGATAGCATTTTCCATCATGAGTCCTTTGGAATTGTCTTGGATCATTGTATTTCTGGGAAGAGCTAAGTCATTCGGAGTTGATCATTGTACAATGTTGCTGTAACTGTGTACAATGTTCTCCTGGTTCTGCTCACTTCACTTTGTATCAGTTTATGTAAGTCTTTCCAGGTTTTCCTGAAAACCACTTGCTCATGATTTCTTATAGCAAATTAGCATTCATTACAATCACATACCACAACTTGTTTAGCCATTCCCTAATTGATGAACACCCCCTCAATTGCCAATTCTTTGCCACCACAAAAAGAGCTGCTATAAATATTTTTATACATGTAAGTCCTTTTCCCTTTTTTCCAGCACCAGCTTTCTAACTATTCTCCTTGGCTCAGATCTTTCCCCTCTCTAATCCATCTAGATTATCTGAGATTAATATCCCTTAAATACTGTTTTCATCATGTTATTCCCCAAGAACCAAGGATGGTTCCTTGTTACCTGGTTGTCTACCAGACATTCAAGGCCTTTCGTAGTCTTGCTCCATTTTACCTCTCCCATCATTTCTTAATATTTCCAGGTGGCATTCTATTTCAGCCACGATTCCTCACTACTTCCCAAGTCAAGTCAAAAAGCACCTAATATGTGCCAGGCACTGCATTAAACCCTGGGGATACAAATAAAAGTTTATTTCAAGGAACTCACATTCCAATGTGAGAAAAAACATGCCCAAAAAAACCCCACTGTTTACAATCAAGATAGATAGGGGATTCATTGAAAATCATCTCAGAGGGAAGGCTTTAAGATGAAGGAAGGTTGGGAAAGGCTTCTTGCAGAAAGTGGGACCTTAGCTGAGACTTGAAGGAAACCTGGAGATGGAGATGAGGAGGGACAGCATTCCATGTATGGGGCACAAAGTGAAAATTCTCAGAGTTAGGAAATAGAATTCCTTGTTGAAGAAACAGCAAATAATCCAATGTCACTGGATCACAGAATATGTGGAGGAGAAAAAGGTGGAAGAAAATTGGAAAGGTAGGAAGGGGCCAGGTTATGAAGGAATTTAAAAGCTAAGCGGGATTTTATATTTGATACTGGAGGTAATAGGGAGCTATTGGAGTTTGAGTTACAGGGGTTACAGGGTCAGAGCTGTGCTTTTGGAGGATCAGTTTGACAGCTGAGTGAAGGACGGATTGAAGTAGAGAGAGAATTCAGCCAAGGAGACCAGCCAGCAGGCTATTTCAATGGTGCAGGCATGAGATGTTGTGAAGGAGAAACCACAAGTGGCCAAGTCTTGGCAACAAGATTGAACATGATGGGTGAGAGACTGAGGAGTTATGGATGCCACCCGCCACCCTGGTTACGAGCTTGAATGACTAGAAGTGATCTCAACAGTGATGCGGAAGGTAGGAAAAGGAGAGGGTACCTAGAGACTTCAGTGTTGTTGGACCTGCTGAGTTTAAGATGGATAGAAACATCTGTTTCAAGATATCCAAAAACAGATAATTGGAGATGTAAACTAAGCAGTTTACAAAGAGGTTAGAGATGGATAAATTCATCTGAGAATCATCTGCACAGAAATGATCATTGAATTCCTGGGAACTGATAAAGACACTAAATGAAATAATACAGTATAGAGGAAAAAAAGAGAAGTGGGTTCGGTAATTCACCATGGTTTGTCAAATGGTAGAGATTGGTCTTTGCAAGTTCCTCCTCAGCCATGTAGATTTTTCCTACCCTATTTGGCTGTTGGCCTGTATGTAGCCCCAGCCTCCACCATATGCAGAAATAAGTAAGTGGGTCAGTAACTTTGAATACTTCTGTTTCTAGCAGTAGTATGCCAGGAATATTTTCTCTCTCATTTTCACTGGAGTTGGCCCCACTGATAAATATAAAGGTGGAAAGAAACAAACCCTTTTTAAAAGAATGCAAATGCGTTATAATTCATTGTTTCTTTCTCAGATCATTAGGTGATATGGGAGAAAGAGCCAAAATTCATATGAAAAGTTCAGTTTTTGAACTAAAAAGTGAATCCATTCAATCTATTTGCAATTTTATATTCTATTCCCTTAAACAAAATTTGCTTTTATATATGTAGTTAAGGCAGAGAATCCTTACCAAAGAGGATCCTTGATCTTTTGCTATAAAGGACCCTAGGAGATATAAAAGGACAACCTTGAAAATACAACCGTATTGAACAAATGCAGCACAGGAACCAGGATACTCACAGGTCCTCCTCTCTTCTGTTTTCCCTTGGAACCTTATTAATGTAAAAGAGAGTTGAATTGCACTGAAGTCCTACCCTGAGGCTTCATCATGATATGGTTGTGACTATGGGTTCTCAAAGTCTACACCAATGATGTGCAAAGGACGGCAGGTCCTGCTAAGCTTGAAAGCTTTACGTATTAGTCTATGTACCTGTCATCCAAGGACCAACCATGTTAAGTGCAAAGAGGCACCAGATGACTGGCCACTAGATAATGAATTAGTTTGGCCACTGATACTAATTAAACTATCCACTAAGGCATGGAAGAAGCTCTCACAGGAGTGAACTCACAAGTCCTTACAAGAAGATAGATGAATTAGTTTGGTCAAGCTAACATATCAACAAGATCTCACTAACTACTTACTATGTGCCCAGTACTGAGTTCTTGAGAGCTGAGAAGACCCTCTGTGATTTGGGCTTTAAGAGTCATCGTTAGGGGCAGCTAGGTAGTACAGTGGATAGAGCACCAGCCCTGAAGTCAGGAGGACTCGAGTTCAAATCCAGCCTCAGACCAAACACTTGACACTAACTGTGTGACTCTGGGCAAATCACTTAACCCCAATTGCCAAAAAACAGAACAAAACAAAACAAACAAACAAGAAAAAAAAAAAACCAAGAGTCAGTGTTGCAAAGCGGATAAAGTCCTGGGCTGGGAGTTTATTAGTTTACATCTCACCTTTAACATATGGTAGCTGTGTGACCATGAGCATATCTCAGAGTCTCAGTTTCCCCATCTGTAAATGAGGACAATAACACCTGTAGTACACAAAGCCATTGTGATAGAAAGAAATGGCATGTGAAGCATTCTGATATATGTCTATATATCTTATATATACACAGTTATTTTCATGTTGTCTTCCCTATTAGGATATGAATTCCTTGAGGGCAGAGACTATGTTTTTGCCTTCCTTTGTATCTCTGGCACTTAACATAGTGCCTGGCACCTAATAAGTTCTTAATAAATGTTTGATGACTGTTGTATTATTATACACGTGCTTGGGGTCTTCTAAGTTACTGGTAAGATGGTAAAACTTCTAAGAATGGTAAAATGGGAGAAATATTGTCAGCTCTCAGTGATGTAGGGGTGTTAGAGAAAGCAAGGAAGGGTGGTTTCCCTGAAATTAAATAAAGGTGATTGATAGGAAGTAGACCTTTTATTTAATGGATACAAGGATCTCTTAGATAAAGAGGCTCCCTCTACCACCTTCTCAGCAATCCATACTCTTAGAGAGTGGCCTAGAGTCTGTAGATGTTGAATACCTCCCCTAGGGTCACATAAGCCCTATATGCCAGCGGCAGGATTTGAACACAGGCCTTCCTGGATCTGAAGCCAGCTCTTTACCCAGTATACCACACTGCTTCTCAAAGTTGATAGAATATATGTTAGTTGATAGAATTTATAAATTCATCATTGACAATTAATAATTTCCATTTAAACAGGTTGATGAGCTGCATACTTGTGTTAATGCAGAAACTAACATTTGTATACATTTAGAGCCCTCCAACACAACAGTAAAGCTACCATGCAGTTTAAACATAATTCATAGACCAACAGAACAGCTGCTGGCAGTCCAGAAATGTGCCCAAAGAGGTGTCATGACTGATGGGGAACGACCAGCTAGAATGAATTCATTTCAGTTTTTATTTGTTTTCTCATGCTGAAATACATCAGCTATAACAATCTTTTCTTTTGTCTGTTGATTTGAAGCTGAAAAACATGCTGGAGTCTCCTGTGTCACAGCATCAATGGATGACATACAGTTTGAAGAGACAGCCAGGTAAGGGATATGATGTAATGCTGCTAACCCTCTTTCCTGATTCTCAGTGATTTATTCCAGCAACATGCTTCCGGGTGGTGCCTCACCTTCATCACTTGAAGGCAGTAGTCAAATGATCAGCATAGAAAATTATACTGGGCCTCATTTAAATGGTTTTAAAAACTCAATACTCAGTGAAAAACTTAGTTCTTATTTGCAATATAAAGCCAAGCTCTTAATTACATTTCTTTGATGAAAAATATCTCCAAGTATTCGTGAATACATTTTGGTAGTATATAACTGGCTGCTTCAGGATTGATTTCCTTTAATAAAAATAATTAATGATAATAAGCAAATCCTCTCTAATTGTATATTTCATTATAAAATTGTTGGGTAAACACTAAAGAATCTGAGTAGTGTTGAGGCTAGAATTTAACAAGAGGCAGACTGAAGCAATTCTCTCACCAAGATACCCTTTATTAACACGGACAAGCAACCTGGTAACAAAGAAATCTTATAGCTACCCTCCTTTTATGCCAAAGACCCTGAGCAAGGGCCAACGGTCTCGTATACCTGCATGTCTTTCTTCTGATTGGCCTGACCGTACATCATTTGACCCGCCTCTGGCAAAGGTAAGGCACCCCAGATTGGTAGGCATTTTAATGAGGAGGTGGGCTAATAGTTCTCAGCTCCTCCTTATTCACATTAGGGGGCAGGGCTAATCATCAGGATAAATTTGAAGCAAGGAAAAGGGGGCTGGTTTTCAGCTGTGGCGGTTCACATCCCTCTCTAACACCCAAGAAATGCTACTAGCTCCATGACAGATAGCTGCCTCCGGCAAACTGGGTTAGGAAAACCTTGGCCATCTCAACCAGGTTTTTACTGGCTTCGTCTCCCCCCTCCCCCCTTTTTTAGACCAGCTCACTCCTAACTTTGATTAGGAGAGGCAAGGACAAAAAAATCATCCCCCCAAATGGGTGGGCGCCTTAACTCAAGCTGGCTTGTGCTTAAGCCAGAAGCAAAAGCAAGGGTCCTTATCCAGGCAGATGCCGTGGGGGCGGGGAGTAACGACGTTCCTCAGCCAATTCAGCCTGGAAGAAGTCTCTTTTGAGTTAGGCGAAAAGATTGGGGTTGGGGGTGGGGAGGGTTACCAGGAAAGGGTATATTGCAGATTAACATTAAATATCAAATGATACAGCATAATATTAATTTTCCTCAGTAGAGATGGTAATTTTTTTCCATATAATTTCTAAGTGGGAAAGGGCCTCAGAGGTCAGCTTGTATTCAAGCATCTCATTTTACATACTGAGAAGCTGATGTTCAAAGAACTTAAGTGACTGGCCCCACGTCAAGCAGCTACTAAATAGTATTTAAACCCAGGAACTCAAACTCTAAATTCAGTATTCATTCCACTGTCCTGTACTGCCTTCTCTAAAACAATCAATAAATCAGTCAACATTTATTAAATGCTGGAGAAACAAATTCATTTAAGGTTTTATAATAGTTTTTTTTTTTTAACCAAGGAGCCATGGCAAAAAGTTTGATGGTTGAGTCAAATCTATTGGTTTGGGCAAGCTTCCAGCATAGTATGGAAATACTTAAATACATAAAATACGTATGTTCAACCCACTCTTGTGTTCTACCCTTCCACTAGCATGGGTTAGACTCCCAGAATCTCAGGAGTTGGAAAGAACCCCGGAAGTTACCTATGTAGTCCAATCTAGTCCTCAATAGAAATTGCTTTTACAACCTACCTGATTTTAAGACCTTTAGTGGTGGAGAATTAACTACTTCAAGACATCCCATTCCATTTTTGAAAAGCTGCTACAGTCAAAACCTGCAGCCGACTTGGCTTGGGTCAGTTGTCTTTGCTTTTCCAGCCATCTCTCACGCCCTTTAACTCTGATTAAAATGATACTTTCTACTCTTCTTTCTAATGGAACACAGAAACAGTATTTTTTTTAGATTAGAAAATTTTAAAAACTATTTTTAGTATGTTGTCAATAACTATCTTACAAACAGCATTCCGTTCACACACTTTTTAAATAGTGGTCAATAGTAGCTTGATATCATCTTGGCAGGAGGTCTCTAGTGGAGTTTTCGGGGGATCTGGGCTATTTCACATTTTTTTTCCCAGCAACCTGGACATAGGCAAGGATGGTATGCTTATCTGACTTACAGATGACACAAAGCGGGGAGTTATAGCAAACGAGTTAGATGCCAGAATCAAGATCCAAAAATATTTTGACATGCTAGAACATTGAGCTTATTTGAATAAGATTAAATTTAATAGGAATACATTCAGAAACCAACCCTTGGGTTCAAGAGACAAACTTCACAAGTTCAAGATGGAAAGGCATGGCTAGATAGCAATTGTCCTAACAAATATCTGACAATGTTGCAGGTAAGGATGCAAGTGAAACTTAGGAGGCTTGAGAGGAGCCCAACCCTCCCAACCACTAACTGCTGTTGTTGTTAATTTATGGTGGGAGTAAACCTGTGGGGCAGTTTGAGTTAATTTTTCCCTCAGGTGGCTTGATTAGGAACCCAGGTGTGGGCCCTTTGGTCAAGGAGCATATATAAACAGTTTTATATCTGAGAGCTCCTAAGACCCCAGGGAACTGTTTGTTGACTGTTTCAGTTTCTTGCTTTTGGTTTTTATTTTCCTAAACTGATTTTTACCACCTTGTGAATTGCCTTTTACTTGGAACTTGGGGATGGGGGTGTTTGAATATGTTTTTATTAGAGGGATATTTTTACACAGTCTGAATAATCCATTGCACTAGATGTAGGACCATGATTGGAGTGGGCATTTTAGTGAATTATAAATTACATTATAAATAGAAGTCATTAGTGTGATTCACTAACAATAGTCTAATGTGATCTTGAATTGCATAAAAAAAATGTCAGGTCCAGTATTAGGGAGGCAGTAATCCTACTATACTCTGTCCTGGTCAGACCACACCTCAAATACTGGGTTCCATTTTGCCTATCAAATTTTAGAAAAGACAATGGTAAACTGAAGGGCATCTAGAGGAAGACAGCCAGGATGATGAAAGATCTTTTAAGGATTGCTTGAAGGAACTAGGATTGCTTATAAATTGGGGGGAGGGGACAATGGGTATATTCAAGCATATGAAGGCCCGACCAATAGAAGAGATTAGATGTGTTCTGCTTGACCCCAAAGGGCAAAACTAAGAACGATAGGTGGAAGTTACCATGGTGCAACATTTAGACTTGGTGTAAAAAAAGACTTCCTAACAATCAGAGCTATCCAGAAGTGGACTGGGCTCCCTCAGAAGGAAGAGCATGCTCCTTTCACCCCTTAAAGGTTGGATGATGACTTGATAGATATATTGTAGAGGAAATCTTTGTTTAGGCAACTAGGTTGCATAGTGAATAGAGGGCTAGGTCTGGAGTCTTGAAGACCTGAGTTCAAATCCGGCCTTAGACACTTGTTAGCTGTGTCAAGTCTGGGCAAGTCACTTAAGCTCTGTCTGCCTGTTTCCTCAACTGTAAAATGAGAGAGAAATTTTGTTCAAAAAAACTACAGAGTATACAAAATATTTGTGAATTTACCTATGAAGGCACACAGAGGAACTGTGTAAATACAACTACAAAACGTTCTTTACAGAAATAAAAATAGGCTCAAATAGTTGAAGAGATATTGATTGATCATGGTCATGCTATCCCAATGTAGTAAAAAGGATTGGACCTGTGATTTTATTGGTATAGGGAATTCTCAGATGAGGAAACTTCCTCTGCCAAAGTAGGTCAGCACCTTTTCTTGTAATTTATAATCTTGGGGAGTTACCTGGAGGCATTGAAAGGTTAAGTAACTTACTACAGGTCAAACAGCCAGAAGTAAGACTTAAACCCAGGTATTCCTGGATCCAAGGCCAGCTCTTTATCCACAATGACTTATTGCCTCAATCAAAATGACAATATTACCTAAATTAGTTTACTTATTCAGTGCCATACCAATCAAAGTTATTTTATGGAGCTAGAAAAATAAAATACAAAAATTCATTTGTAGCAACAGCGCATCAAGAATCTCAAGGGAAATAATGAAAAGGAAAGAAAGGGGCCTAGCAGTACCATCAGTGCTATAAAACAATAATCATCAAAACTATTTGTTACTAGTTAAAAAATAAAAAGTTGAACAAAATTAAGTATATAATATATGGAAGATGAGTATAGTACCATATATCTTGGATAAACAGACTTACTGAGAAACTGATTCATTGAGGACCCCTGCTTTATTATGATCAGTGTTAATCAATTTGATATGATAGGTAGTGATTATAAGTTCTATATATTAGGCTTCAGAACTGTAAGCTGCAGATTGTAAGTTTACTTGCTTAATCAAGGAAGTTAGCTAAAGATTCTCCACCCTTGTTTTTCCTTGTCATGGTGACCAAGCCCAGTGTAACAGAGGTGACTCAACTACATGGAAAGTCCCCCAATTTATTTTTGTACCTCCGCACCTTTCTCTCTGGTCCAACATGAGCAGGTAACCATCTTATAGTCATACGTCTACCTAGTCAGTAAAAATATTCTTTACTTCACCCAAGTTGTGACCCCACTGACAGATCATTTTTGTTTATCTTAGCCTATGCATCATATGTCAACCAATGGAATTATTCTGTATTTGGTACAGTTGTTCTTGAATGTCTAGATAGCTAACCCTATAAAAATAGGGCCCTAAAAGGAGGGCACATCCCAGCTCACGAGGAAAATCTGAGGTCCGCTTCACTAGAGGGGACCATGGAACCTTTAATAAAGTGCCATTGGCTCAGAGCTCTGCCTCAGACTCTTTTATTGTAGGTTAGACAACTTTAATCTGCACATTATAAGTAATCATTAAGTGACTATATCACCTTCTATAATCCTCTCTATTCCTTATTTGGTCATGAATGCTTCCTTACTCCTCTAATTTGTTTATGAGGTAACCTTCTATAACTAGATAATTTAACTATTTGGAACTACTCGATGTATGGTGTGAATGTTGGTCTAAGTCT